TAATGGGGATTGGTGGTGGGACACTGAGGAGAGTTCAGAGGGAGAAGATTGGGAGGAGGTGCAGTGTGCCAAAGGGGCAACAGGGTTTAGTGAGCAGGAGGAACCTGTGGCAGGGAGCAGTTCAGACTCCAAGGCTGAAGCAGAGGAGGGGTGGTGGTGAAGAGGCTGCTGAAGAATGCCTGGAGTCTCCCTTTCCGGTTGTGACAAGATCCCCTGACCTCTGGTCCCCAAGAATGTGCAGGGCACTGATAAAAGCAGAACAGAGGTCAGAGGTGGGCAGACGACTTTAGATAAGGCTTGGGAAATGTTTGGAAGAGGAGGAGCCTTAGAAGGAATGGAAGACAGGGACCTTCAGTCCTGGTAACTGCTCAGTAGGGACAAGAGCTACTGGGACGTGTGACTTGAGTTGTATGCCGATTCCTTGAATAAAAATTAAACTTCACTGACGACTGTTTCTTTGTGATGACCAGCATCTGACTCCAGCTCAGACAATATGTGTGGTCAATGGTTGGAGTTGGGAGCTGGAATGCCACCGTACCCTGAGGTGCCAGTGAACTTGAACCCCCTTTTCCTTCCTCTTCTGAATTTTCTTTGCCCCCTGAAAACTCATAACCTTACTTTGCTCTCTTGCAGTGAACAGTGATATTTTCTCTCTCTCTTTGTGCAGGATTTGCCTGGGAGACACCACAGAGTAAGGAAGCATGCAAGGCTGAAGGTGGTAAATGCGTACTTGTGACGTGTCTCCATCTTACTGAGATCGGAAGCTGTGAGGGGAAGATGAAGTGTTGCAAAAAGTAATCTCGTTTTGCCAAACAAGAGATCAAACAAGCTATGAGAGATAAGCGTAATTTCACAAATAGCATCCACGGCCCAAACCCTCCAGGCTGAGCATTTCAAGCAGCCTCAGATTTCAGGGTCTTCAGGCCCTTAACTAATGACTCATTTCTGTGAACCACAATTAAGATATCATTTAAATCATGGTGCCATTCTTTGCTTCAAGGTCCAACTCAAATTTAGTACTAGGATTTCCCCATATTCCTCACACAACTAACTCTTTTGAACATTTTGAAAACTCATGTTAATATCTCTAAAGAGTTTGTAGAGTCTCAGAGTTGATTCTGTAATTGGGATCTGCCATCATTTGTTCATTAGAATCTGACAGTAGAGTCCTAGGCCGTGCGGTTTGTTTTTTCTAAAAAAATGTTTAGGGGTAGTCTCATGTTGACTCAAGAAAATCACCATTTTATAGGTCAAATAGGGGGAAACAAATACAGTAAATGGACATGCATGACCTCATATTACACAGCTGACAGCTCACATATAACAAGTCTAGGGCCTTTCAAAACGCTAATAAAACCCACGTGCAAAAACAGCATGAGCACCTTGCCTTTGCTACGACTTTTTTTGTGTGTGTGAGGGAGGGGTGAACCACGTGGGAAACTGGCGCTGTATCTTTCTTTCTTTTCTTTTTTTAATTTTTTTTTTATTCAAAATTAAAACAAAACATATTATCCAAAAACATATCATCCTTATCCCCCCCCCATTTTTCCTCCCTCCCCCCCAAAAAACCCACCCACCACCACGCCCCCAGCTTCCCTCAGTTCCAGTCTTTGGTTTCTCTGAGAATGCTGTTTTCTGCATGTTACAAAGTTGTATAGATCCTCAAACTATTTAGCTGATTATTATCAATAAAAAGTTTGTGAATATTTATTCAAAGCCAGCCAAGGAGTCCAGTTTGCTTTGTTGCGTCTTCAGATACTTTGTAAAGGGTTCCCACTCATCTTTAAAATCACAGTTATCCTTGTCCCGTAGCTTATATGTCAGTTTTGCCAGTTCTGCATAATCCGTCAATTTTTCTTGCCATGATTCTTTAGTTGGGGTTTCGACAGTCTTCCATCCTTGTGCTATTAGAACTCTTGCGGCTGTTGTCGTGGTGCTGAATCTTTCAATCTATATTTTAAAAATGCGTCTATAGCTGCAGCTACACGATGTTTCCAGGGCAGCCCTGCAGAGCTTTCCAAGCACGAATGGGCCTTGAGGGAAGAGGAGAGGAGCTACCAGCGTGTGGCTGGGAAGGCTCTGCTTTGTGATTGGTTCCCATAGCAGCAAGGAAACCCGGGCTGTGCCTCTCCCCCCTCCTGTCTTTGCTGTTGCTGCATGGCATAGACAATCACGCCAGATCCCAAGAAGCCTCTTCCTGTGGCTGGAAGAGGCTTTGCTTCTTTGCAGAAAGCATGTCAACAAAAATGTTTAGGGGTACCTGTACCCCTGCGACCCCACCCCACAAAAAAAGCACTGGTCCTAGGCGTGTCTCCCTTTTCTTTTAGATCTGTACAGTGGTACCTCGAGTTACGAACTTAATTCGTTCCAGAGGTCTGTTCTTAACCTAAAACTGTTCTCAACTAGAGGTGTTCTTTCGCTAATGGGGCATCTATCTGCTGCTGCGCCGCCGGCACACGATTTCCGTTCTCATCCTGGGGCAAAGTTCTCAACTTGAGGTAACTCTTCCAGGTTAGCGGAGTTTGTAACCTGAAGTGTTTGTAACTTGAGGTACCACTGTAATTTTGTCTACTTTTGGTTCTCTTTTTAACTAAGGAAGATCTCTGTAATCCTCCTCTTAAATAATAATAATAATAATAATAATAATAATAATTTATTCCCCAGCCACTCTGGGTGGCTTCCAATAAAAGATTAAAAATACATTAAAACATCAGTTATTATAAACTTCCAGAACAGGGCTGCCTTCAAATGTCTTCCAAACGTCAGATAGTTGTTTATCTCCTTGACATCTGATGGGAGCTTGTTCCACTCATGTTAATATCTCTAAAGAGTTTGTTCAGACTCAGAGTTGATTCTGTAACTGGAATCTGTCCTCATTTGTTCATCAGAATCTGACAGTAGAGTCCTAGGCATGTCTCCCTTTTCTTTTCTTTTCTTTTCTTTTCTTTTCTTTTCTTTTCTTTTACCTGTTTATATTGTCTATGTCTTCCATTTTCCTTCATTTGTCATTTGTAGTGTTGTCCAGTTCTCAGACAAGCTGGACATGCACTAGCACAATGGAAATATATACATAAAACCATGACAAGATCTTTATTCTTGTCCACAGGAGTTTACATTTCCCTTCAATACTTATTGTTGATTGCCTTAGCTCATTCCCTCGCAGTGCTCCACCTTCCTATATTCAACATTTTGACATCTGATTCCAGGTGTGATGGAAATAACTGTATATTTTGTTTTGTTTCCAAACAGGTTAGACTGATGTAGGAGGCCTGCTTACCCAGGGTTTTTTAAGAGCCACTGGATTGCCGCTTGATCCCCAGTTAGAGACACCTTCTGCTTCTTCACTAAAACATCTGGATCAAAAGAATAAGCCACCACAAAATGTTCCATGATTATAACAGCTTGCCCCTTTCAATAAAAGCAAATTAAAAAGTCCTGTTCCCTCTCTTTCCAGTTTTTTCTTTTTCTTTTTCGAGTTTTTATTAGGACTTTAATGTACTATCTTTATTTATACTTTCCAGAGATCACAAGGGCATGGTGATCTATGGCCAGGGTGCTTTAGACCAGAAGGCCTGTGTTCTAATCCACACATGGCCATGAAACTTACTAGACGACTTTGGGCCATGCACATTCTCTACCAGAGCTACTGTGTCATGGTGATGAGAAGCGAGGGCTGCAGAGATCCAGGTTACAGTCTCTGCCCAGCCATGAAGCACATTGGGGGGACCTTGAGACAGTCGCCATCTCTCAACCCAGCCAGCACATTGTGAGGATATCAGCTGGGGATCAGCCACATACAGTGCCTTGAGCTCAGTGGGGGAATGGTGCAATAAATTTGTTGGAAGCCACCCCAAGAGCCTGGGGCAACCTGGTCGGATGGGTGGGATGCAAGGAATAAAATTATTATTATTATTATTATTATTATTATTATTATTACCCTTGAAGTTGTTGTGAAGATAAGATGGGGTCAGGAGGAAAGGTCATACTTCACAGGAGGTACAGGATATTGCTCTATCTCTTACTATAGAATAAAATTGTAAGTCAGCGTCACTCTGTTTTCATTGGCTGCTTTCCCAAGGTTCTAAAAGCAGGAGTGGGATGAGGATGCTCTGAGAAAACAGTGTTACAATGTAGGATTGGGAGAGAAGCAAGTGAGAGTAGGTTGATATGCTTCCGCAACTTGGTTTCCGAATGTTTTGGAAGTTGAACGGACTTCCGGAATGGATTTAGTATGACAACAAGGTAGAACTGTACTGAGTTAGTTAGATAGACCGATCCGAAATGATCAGTGTCCTTTGTTCCTATGTTCCCTGACAACACAATAGAACTAGTAAGTAATTTTCATCGTAAAAAGGTACCATTGTTTAACCATCTTAAGGTAGGCAACAAAGAGCAATAATATCTTTGACAAGATGCCGAAATTCTGGATTATCAGATAAATTGTTCTTGTAAAATGCTTTTTAAAAAATACCATGAGATTAAATCAAATGGTTGGCTGCATAGTCAATCCATGGATTACGTTGAAATTGTTCACATAAAACAACGTTTTATGGGGTCCCCCCATTTGACTGGTTTTTCTCATTTTCCCCTTGTTTTTCACATATTTTTAATTCAGCTTTGAGGTGTTTGTGTTTTTAAAAAACCCTTTCTTTCTCTCCTGGAATCCCATGATTTTGTTTTGTTTTGCTTTGCTTTGTTTCATTTAATTTCACCCCCCCCCCCAAAGATCTTTTTATACTGGTACTTAATTGGTTCTGGGATGTTTTGCTGTTTTAATGGCATTAGTTGTTTAGAATATTGTGTGCTGCTTACAGATTTTAAAAATGTTAAGCGGTTTATAAATGCTTTCAAATCAATTCAGGTTTGCTTTTATCAAAGTCACTCTAATGTTGTAAATTGTTTACTGTGTTGCTTGGTTGTTGCTGTTTTCTTAAAACAAACCACTGTTTTAATAATATAAACAAAATAAAAAAAATCTTTCCAATAGCACCTTAGAGACCAACTAAGTTTGTCATTGGTATGAGCTTCATGTGCATGCACACTTCTTCAGATACTGAAGATGTGTCTTCTTCTATCTGAAGAAGTGTGCGTGCACACGAAAGCTCAATCCAGTGACAAACTTAGTTGGTCTCTAAGGTGCTACTGGAAGGAATTTTTATATTTTGTTTTGACTCCGGCCGACCAAAACGGCTACCTACCTGCACTTTTAATAATATAAACGGCCTTGTCCCAGTATACCTGAAGGAGCGTCTCCACCCCCATCATTCAGCCTGGACACTGAGGTCCAGCTCTGATGGTCTTCTGGCGGTTCCCTCCCTGCGAGAAGCAAGGTTGCAGGGAACCAGGCAGAGGGCCTTCTCAGTGGTGGTGTCCAACCTATGGAAAGCCCTCCCGTCAGATGTCAAGGAAATAAAGAACTATCTGACTTTTAGAAGACATCTGAAGGCAGCTCTGTTTAGGGAAGCTTTTAATGTGTGGTCTTTTATCATATTTTTAATATTCTGTTGGGAGCCGCCAATAGTGGCTGGGAAAAATCTAGTGTGACGGGCCGGGTATAAATAATAAATTATTATAAAATTATTATTATATAAATAAATAAATTCCTGGATGATAAGGCCCACCCAGGCCACTAGCTTGGGGAAGCCTGGCTTATGCCATATTAAGAACTCAAGCCTTTAAAAGACTCATTGTTGTTCAAGTTAAACATCTCTGAGTAACACAGAGAATAAAACCAGACCCCAGAGCTCCCCTGCTTTCTGTCTGTCCCTGTCTCTCTTTCTCTTTTTCTCTTTTTTTACCGTTTACTGAAATGTACCCACCAAAGGAGAAGCTTTCCTTTCCTTCTGCTTCTGCCTTTTTCGCAAAGGAAAGCGAGTCTCTGCCTCCACCTCTTGGAAGGAAGGCAAAACTACAAATATCAGCAAGCTGGCTATCATCTACCTTGGGCCAAGGAAGTCTTTGTCAGTCCGTACTGGAGAACCCGGGACGCGGGTGGCGCTGTGGGTTAAACCACAGAGCCTAGGACTTGCTGATCAGAAGGTCGGTGGTTCGAATCCCCGCAATGACGGGGTGAGCTCCCATTGCTCGGTCCCTGCTTCTGCCAACCTAGCAGTTCGAAAGCACGTCAAAGTGCAAGTAGATAAATAGGTACCACTCCGGCGGGAAGGTAAACGGCGTTTCCGTGCGCTGCTCTGGTTCGCCAGAAGCTGCTTAGTCATGCTGGCCACATGACCCGGAAGCTGAACGCTGGTTCCCTCAGCCAATAAAGCGAAATGAGCGCCGGAACCCCAGAGTCGGCCACGACTAGACCTAATGGTCAGGGGTCCCTTTACCTTTATCTTTACTGGAGAACCCAGAAACTGTGGCTTGGAAGTGTAAAGAAACAGAAAGCAAGAACATTTTCCAAGCATTGGGAGAGACTCCACTGTCTGCTTTGTACTTTCTCCATACTCCAGCGTATATAAGAGAAGACGACTGGGTTAGAGATGGATTAGAGACCAACATACAAAATAAAATGTTGCTATGGAGCAGTGCCTTTGTTCTCTGCTTCAACAAGCCAGCCATGTCCGTCTCTAGGACTTTCCCTTTCATCTCTTCCTTCTAGGGATGGGAGAATCTCTCCCTTGTGGTTTCTCTCGGCTTCTCATTTTTCCAATCTTAAATCCAGTTCTCCGCATTTCCACATAAACTTGCATTTTTTAAATAAAAATAAATAAATCAACATTTCAGTGGCAATTTCCTCTTTGTATGAAACTTTGCCCAAAATACATATTTCTGCAACTAAATATTCCGCAATATAGAAACATTCCCTGATATAATGCATTCTTGTTTTCATTAATATATGCATACTTAGGCACACTTTCCCCAATTGTACACTTTCCCCCCAAGTTGTGTGGTTGGAGAACTGCACTGAAAAATTCAGAGCACAGAGTACAGTGGTACCTCAGGCTACATACGCTTCAGGTTACATACCCTTCAGGTTACAGACTCCGCTAACCCAGAAATAGTGCTTCAGGTTAAGAACTTTGCTTCAGGAAGAGAACAGAAATCATGCTCCAGCGGTACGGCAGCAGCAGGAGGCCCCATTAGCTAAAGTAGTGCTTCAGGTTAAGAACAGTTTCAGGTTAAGTAGGGACCTCCAGAACGAATTAAGTACTTAACCTGAGGTACCACTGTATTCACATTCTGTTTCAGTTCACCTGCTGCTTCAGAAAGTGCAAATAAGGTTGGATTGCCTTTAAAAGTGAACTGAATAAAATTGCTTCTCCTTAATTCCCATTCCCTCCTCCTTTCTTCTCCTCCTTGTCATTCAGTCCTTCTCTTGGAGCTGTTTGGGGGGATTCCTCCCCATAGGTGAAATGTGCCATTTTGGCTTCAAAAGCAACAGCACTCATACCTGAAAATAGGAAACAGAGTGGATGGAGTGTTTTATTTTGTTTTTATTGCAAGGAACAAGCTCATACAATTGATGGAATTTTTCTGAAGTCTTCATTTATTAATTTTTATCTGGATGCTTTGGGGAATAAGCAGAAGGCGTCTCCAGCAAGGGATTAAGCAGGATCCAGTGGCTCTCAAGGTGAGGGAACATCTCCCATTTTTCAAAGGATCCTGGGTAAGCAGGCAGCAATCATTTCTTCCTGAGAAATCAGGAAACGCAAAAATACCAGAGTTACTCCCATTTCAGAGGCAGCATTTGCACTACGAACCATTTTAATATTTTATCCCTTTATGTATAGAATTTTATTGCCATTTGGAAGTTGCCCTGGGGGAAGTCATCTTGATGGGCCAACAATAATGCATGCAAACATGCATACTTTACACAAAATAATAATAATAATAATAATAATAATAATAATAATAATAATAATAATATCTTCATACTCCGCCCATCTGGCTGGATTTCCCCAGCCACTCTGGGTGGCTTGCAACAAAATATTAAAATAAAATATTCTATTAAACATTCAACGCTTCCCTAAACAGGGCTGCCTTCAGACATCTAAAGAAACGTCTGGTTAAGTCTAGCAAGCATCAAAAAAACTTTGATGACACATATTCTGGCTACTCATTTGATCTCTTGTCTGGTAAGCTGAAGTTACCTTACGCAACATATCCTCAGAAATCCACATCTCCCCCTCTGAATGAAGGGATAGATACAACCTCCAAATCTGCAAACACCACCGCATTGTTGACTATTCCCTGGTGTTAGCTGGGCAGATCCTACACAGAGGAAGAAAAATAAGTTACTGTCCACTGCGGAGAGGAGAGGAAATTCAGAAGAGGAAGAAAGGGAGGCACAAGTTCAGGAATGGGGGATTCCGCGACTCTCTGGATGTTGAGCCATTAGCTGAAGTTGTTCCCCATTCCTGCTTTAATCATAGAATCATAGAATCATAGAATCATAGAGTTGGAAGATACCACAAGGGCCATCGAGTCCAACCCCCTGCCAAGCAGGAAACACCATCAGAGCACTCCTGACATATGGTTGTCAAGCCTCTGCTTAAAGACCTCCAAAGAAGGAGACTCCACCACACTCCTTGGCAGCAAATTCCACTGTCAAACAGCTCTTACTGTCAGGAAGTTCTTCCTAATGTTTAGGTGGAATCTTCTTTCTTGTAGTTTGGATCCATTGCTCCGTGTCCGCTTCTCTGGAGCAGCAGAAAACAACCTTTCTCCCTCCTCTATGTGACATCCTTTTATATATTTGAACATGGCTATCATATCACCCCTTAACCTCCTCTTCTCCAGGCTAAACATGCCCAGCTCTCTTAGCCGTTCCTCATAAGGCATCGTTTCCAGGCCTTTGACCATTTTGGTTGCCCTCCTCTGGACACGTTCCAGTTTGTCAATGTCCTTCTTGAACTGTGGTGCCCAGAACTGGACACAGTACTCCAGGTGAGGTCTGACCAGAGCAGAATACAGTGGCACTATTACTTCCCTTGATCTAGATGCTATAATCCTATTGATGCAGCCCAGAATTGCATTGGCTTTTTATGCTGCCGAGTATCACTGTTGGCTCATGTCAAGTTTGTGGTCAACCAAGACTCCTAGATCCTTTTCACATGTACTGCTCTCAAGCCAGGTGTCCCCCATCTTGTATTTGTGCCTCTCATTTTTTTGCCCAAGTGCAATACTTTACATTTCTCCCTGTTAAAATTCATCTTGTTTGTTTTGGCCCAGTTCTCTAATCTGTCAAGGTCGTTTTGAAGTGTGATCCTGTCCTCTGGGGTGTTAGCCACCCCTCCCAGTGTCATCTGCAAATTTGATCAGGATGCCCTTGAGTCCATCATCCAAGTCGTTGATAAAGATGTTGAATAAGACCGGACCCAAGACAGAACCCTGTGGCACCCCACTAGTCACTCTTCTCCAGGATGAAGAGGAACCATTGATGAGCACCCTTTGGGTTTGGTCAGTCAGCCAGTTACAAATCCACTGAGTGGTAGCATAGTCAAGACCGCATTTTACCAGCTTCTTTACAAGAATATCATGAGGCACCTTGTCAAATGCCTTGCTGAAATCAAGGTAGGCTACATCCACTGCGTCCCTTCATCTACCAGGCTTGTAATTCTGTCAAAAACGAGATCAGGTTAGTCTGACATGACTTATTTTTCAGAAATCCATGCTGACTATTGGTGATCACAGCATTCCTTTCTAGGTGCTCACAGACTGTTTGCTTAATGATCTGCTCCAGAATCTTCCCTGGTATTGATGTCAGACTGACTGGGCGGTAATTATTTGGGTCCTCTCTTTTCCCCTTTTTGAAAATAGGGACAACAGTTGCCCTCCTCCAGTCTGCCGGGACTTCGCCTGTTCTCCAGGAATTCTCAAAGATGACTGCCAGTGGTTCTGAGATCACATCTGCCTGTTGTTTTAATACTCTTGGATGCAGTTCATCTGGCCCTGGAGGCTTGAATACATCTAAACTAGCCAAGTATTCTTGTACTATCTCCTTAGTTATTCTGGGCTGTGTTTCCTTTGCTGAATCTTTTGCTCCAAATTCTTCAGGTCAGGCATTGTTTTCTTTATCGGAGAAGACTGAGGCAAAGAAGGCATTGAGGAGTTCAGCTCTTTCTGTGTCCCCTGTTTGCATTTCACCATCTTCTCCTCTGAGTGACCCCACTGTTTCTTTGT